TGCGCGGGGTGGATGGTGCTTCACAGGAGTAAAACCAAAGGATGTTTGGAGGCTGTTTTAGCAATGCAGGCAGGTGATGGTAGGCAGTGTGAGAAGGGTAGTTTGGGAAAATAATTCAGAAATGCTATCTGAATGTCTGGGTGTGTAACTTGAGAGGGAGGAGTCAAGAATGATCTCCAGGGTCCTCCTCAAGTTTCTGCATGGATGGTGAGCCAGGGCCTGAAGGAGCAGCAGCAGGTGGGAGAGGACTGGCCACTACACTGAACTGCAGGTTGCTAGTGAACACGAGTGCGGTGTGGCTTGCCCTGCCGCTCAAGGACACAGGAACATTCAAGCCCATGGCTTTCCTTGTGATACATGCCACAACAAAATGATCATAGCACAACAATAACACTAATGAAAACAGAAAAGAAATACTTACAAAAAGAACATGATACAAACATGCTCCTTCTGAATCCATAAATCTGCCCTCCTTTGTATGATTTATAGCTAGGGGCCCGGTTCCTCTGGAAAGTGTGCCCAAATGACATCAGATATTCCCCAAACTGCCCACACAGGCCTCTGAGCATGCATCTCCTCAACAGAGTAAAGTTGTGTATATTTTGGATCTGGAAGACCAAGTGTATAAATAAATACCAGTGAGGTTGGATATGACTTCGCAAGGATACTTGCTGAAAAATCTTCCATACTTTAGTGACCTTTAGTGAGCTCAGTATGCAGCAGCCAAGAAATCTTCATTCATTCATTCAGCAGATGTTCACTGAGCCCCGACTGTGTAGCAGCACCCTGTAAAGGCTGCAGAATCCACCTCTGGGAGGTGAATACAGAGACAGGAATTTAGGCTCCTTAACTGGGAGTGGACTGCTGTGGAATCCCGAGAGGACAGTTGTATGGTTTGCGTAAGTACCCTAGGAGTACACATGAAGGGTGGACGCCCTGCTCTGCCCGCAGAAGGTGGAGACTCCTCAGTGAGGAGGTGACATTTGAACTGGGTGGCAAAGGAAGAATCAACACATGAGCCAGGGGAAGGCTGGAGATTCTGTCAAAAGGAGACTTTAGGGTGAATGATGCAATTTAGCTGAAGCCTAATAGTCATGGAGCGAGTGGGAGGGGGAGGGGAAGATGAGAATGTAAAGTTTAGGTGAAGCTTGTATTTGTTAGGTTGATGGTTTGGCTTCGCTCACAGAGACCAATGACAAAAGCAAGGCAGATTTCTTTCTCTTTCCCTAGAAGTCTAGTTTGAGGTCCAGGAGGAGTGGGGTGGTGCTTCACCAAGTCACTCAGGGACCCAGGTTTCTTTTCGATTGTTGCTCTAAAGAGATGTTGTTTTTCATGTGACCAAAGCTGACCTCTCAGCACCACACCCATAGCACACCTGGTGACAAAGCGGAAAAGAACAAGTGGTGGAGTGCAAACAGTGCCTTCTAAGGACGTGACTCAGAAGCTGCACATATCATTTCCATTCACATCCTCTTGGGAAGAACTTGATCACAAGGCCAAACCTACCTGCGCAAGAGGCAGAGAGGTGCGGACTGTTAAGGTGATGCTGCACCTTGCTAAACTTGGGGCTTCTGTTCCTATAAGGAAGTAGGGGAGACTGGCCATTTGCGGTCAAATTGTCTCTGCTATAAGGCCAACTCTCAAAAGCTATTGCATGCCACCTTCAGGGGCTTTGACTTTATCCTGGCAATAGGGAGCCAGTAAGTGCTTTATGTTGGGGAGATCCATGATTAAGATCAGAGTTTTAGCAAGCTCTCCTGGCTGTGGTGTGGAGAATGGACTTCAGTGCCATAAAGCAGATCTGGGCTGACTCCAGGAGGTAGGACTAGTGGATGGAGGTTAGAGGATAACAGACTTCAAGCACAACAGGACTTTTTAACAGGACAACTCCCCCCTGCCCCCCATAAAAAAAAAAACACAAAAAACCCACAATGAAAGGAAACAAAAAGACCTAGGTGGTCAGGATTCACACAAACACTAGTCCTTTAGTTAGATAAAATGGTGCAGAATCTATTCAAGCAGTCTGATATGTATTGTATTCATGATTCAAAGAGTTTTGTGCACCTACTCTGTGTCAGGTACAATTCTAAATGCTAGGGGTGTGGCAGGGAACAAGAAAGCAAACTCTGCTTTCCTGGGGCTCGTGTGCCAGTAGGGAAAAAAACATTCCATCAACCATTAAACAAACAAGATGATTTCAGGTGGTGAGAAGTCAGAAGGACCAGAAAATATAAAGTTGCTGGGAGGAAAACAAATTTAATTAGGATGGGCCAGAAAACCAGAGTGGCAGAAGGAGAGCAAGCATGGGGGTGGCCTGGGAGAGGTGAGATTGGTGGGTGTTGGGGGTCTGGTCATGTGGGATCTGGGGCTTTGTTCTAAGAGCGATAGGAGGGTAGTTCTAAGCATTAAAATTATACAAGCTGATTTATGTTTAAAAATCAGTCCAGCTTCTGCATAGAGACTACAGGGTGGATGGTTGGAATCCTGACCTTGAATTATATGAATGCTTACCACATGTGGGGATAGGAGCAAGAGAAAATGAGGACTGTGTCCTCTCAGGATGGAGGCCCCAGGACTCATGTGTGGTCCTAGAACATCCCAGCCTCCTGAGAGGACCCACTCTGGGGTTTAAGAATCTGCTCCAGCCCCTGCTACTCAGGTGTGATCCCCAGCATCAATGTCACCACAGAACTTGTCAGAAATGCAAATCTCAGCCCCCAAAACCCATACCTACTGAACCACAGTCTTCAACAGGACCCCAGATGACTCATACACATTAAAATATGAAAAGCTCTGGTGGCATATTCTCTGGTTAGAGTGTCTTTCTCTCTTCTCCCTAACTATGTGCATAACATACTCATATACAGACATTCCCCCCCCACACACACACACCCTCACAAACACATAAAAACCATAAACTCATACCATGTACACACACCCCACAACATATACATACCACACATTTCCCCCACACACCACATAAACCCACATACATCACATATACACCATACATTCCCCCCCCCACACATACACACATATAAACCACACACACACGCACCACACTGAATTGCCATACAAGATACAAGTTCACTGCCAAGTGACCTATGGACAGGAGGTCTATGGACTAGCTTAAAATTTAGGGATTCCTAAAGGACTGGGCAGGTGCTATATGAGTTAGATTTGAGGAGTTTGAAATGTATAAACAGGGAACTGATAGAGATTATTTGGTGGGAACTTGCTATGTGCAAATTGGTGTTTTAAGGAGATTAACCTGATAGTGATAAGCAAGATGTTGCAAATACATAAAAAGAACAGGAAGACCATAGGCGGCAGACAGTCTGGGGGCTGGCACAGAAATATGAATGGGACTGTCTTTAGTTAATGCAATATGTATGACTGCTGTATGCTTTGTCTTTTGTATTATTTACAAAATATAATGCACTTCAAATTTTCTATAATTTGTATCTGTTATCTTTGCAACAAGATGAAAAAAGTGTGCAAAACCTGTCTAGATTCAGTGTTGTTTTGGCCAGCACTACAATGGGGAGACTACTTCGATAAACATAAAAACGGGGTACTGTTTGATGTCTAGGGGGTTCTCCTGCTTATTCTTTAAAATTCCATGTGAGTATCTCCTCCTCTCTGAAGACTTCCAGGTGACTCTCTTCCTACCTTCCTCTTCAGCTTCATTAGCACAGGCTGAACATAAAACAGGTGTTCAAGAAATGCTTATCTAAGGCTGAATAAGTGTCACGATGGGCAAAGGATATCAAGTCTGGGTAGCTGAATGATTGAGGTGCTTTGGAAAGAAATTCAGGATCTGAGCATGGTATCTGATTTAGAGGAAAGGTCTGAAGTCGTTTTTAGGTCTCCCAACTTTGTCATCATGATAAGAAATGATAGAAATTACAAGAAAGGCCTGAACTGGAGTAGGAATGCCTCTTATTTCACAAAATAGAGCTGACTTTCCTGAAGCATCCATTGACTGATTAACTACTCCACATGCCTTCCTGTTTGGGTCTCCAAGGGGTTCCTGGAACTGGATTAGGCCAGAAAGGAGGTATTGGAGGTTGGGTGCCCTCCATTCCGTGGCCCTATGTTTAGTTGCAGTGGGTTTGGATGGGATGTGCTGGTAGCCCACACATCTGCAGAGCCTGCCTGTGAACTCAGCCCTGAGGGCTCAGTGAGGCCACTTGGCACCAAAGCCAGTTCATGGGCGTGTCCCCCTTGGATGGTCAATAATGCCCTGACCCAGAGCACCAGGGAGAGCATGCCTCTGTGTTCTTGAAGAACAGTTTAGCTTTCCCAGTTTTCTCAGTCTGAACGTTTGTAATCTGGATGCAAGACCATACTCTACTTCATGTGGTTCATAAAATGAATTGGGCAAAAGAAGTTCTTACACTGAAATCTCATAAATTCAAATTCATGGGACTCTATGGGCAAAGGTGTTACATCATCTTACATTGGATGAAGTTTCATGTTCTTCAGAAACTATGTTTTGGGATGACAGGTTTGCTCAGTTGGTTGGAACGTGGTGATGATAACTCCAAGGTTGCGGGTTCCGTCCCTGCATGGACCACTATGAGCTGTGCCCTTCTTAAAAGAGTCAACTATGCCATTGTAGCATGAAAGCACTGTGTAACCAATGACCATGGCTGTTCCCTAATAAAGTTTGAAAAAAAAACAACTACGGTATGTTTTTCTTCAAAGAAAAATTGTTTTACAGGTAGTACAAAGTAACTTCAAGTAAGTCTGTCATTATTGTGAAAAGAATAGTGGGTAATTAAAGCTCACTAGAAACCCAAACAGAAAGTCTTGCGTGTCATATTAAGCCCTGAAGGCCTGTCAGTGATGGCAGAAGTAAGTGGTCCTCATACCAACACCCGCTGCCTCTCCCCACCGCTCCCCGAATTCAGAGTTGGCCCCACAGGAGGAGAGACTTTATTTGTCTGGTGAAAGAGGATGCTTGTCAGTTTACCGTCCTGGACTTTTTATTTCAGATCATCAGAAAAGCCCTTTCTGAGGAAAAGCGTGTCTCAACAAAAACATCAGCTGCAGATCTTGTCACAGAAACGGATCACCTTGTGGAAGATTTAATTATTTCTGAGCTGCAGAAGAAGTTTCCTTCGCACAGGTAGGTGTATTTCTCAGGAAAAACACCCCATAAACACGATGCCACATTCATAAAGAAGGCCAGGGTCTAACTCTGGAGGCCGTGCCATTGGTTGATGGGGACAGACCTCAAGCAGGAAACCTCACTGTCTACCCCCTGATATTTTGATTGCATGGTAAACAAACAAACATGTCTTCATTCTTTTTACAACCCTCATGTCAATATTACCTTAAAAGACTGAAAAGCTTCACTTTCCACAACATACGCTCAGGGGAAGAGACCTGCCCGCCCCCTCTGCTAAGCCAATTAGCATATTTCTGGAAGCACCTGGAGCAGTAATGTTCCCTGGAAGCCTGTGTTTTGCTTGGTGGTGTCATGCAGATTTTCCAAGAAGGCTGTCAGCTATGTGGGCCCAGGTCCACTGCCTGCTGCTGTACCTCTGCTGCTATTCAGTGATGCACTCTTCCCTCGCCAGGCCAAAGCATGCGACAGGAATGGCTGCAGTCCTCCCCTAGATCTTTATTAGGGCCCTACCCTCTTCTCTAGAGCAGAAGTTCTTAACCTTTCTGGGGCCACCATGTGGAGAATCCAATGCAAGTTATAAATATTTTCCTCAGAAAAACTCAAATATTTACACAGCATTTTGCATCTAGTTCCGAGGAAGTCACAGACCCCAGAGGAAGACTCTCCTTGAGTTCTGGGGGGACTCCTCAGGCCCCTCCTTCATCCCTGGAGTTCTGCAGAACAGAGTTTGAAAAACCACTGCTTTGGGTGCGAGGGGTCTCTTTCCTTTCTTACGGAGAATCGCTAAAACTGAAATACCAGGTGTTGGATTTCTGGATACTTATGCAGCAGATTCTATATACTTATGCAGCAGAAATATGGAAGACCACTTCCCTCAGCATTCATCTAGCACAGGGTAGGCACCATAGACATTTCCCCCTGTGAATGATTAATTGAAGGAAAGGACAAACTTACCTCCCTTTTTTTCCTATTGCTTCCTTCTAACTGGTTAGGTTATCTCAGGGTCACCAACTCTCTCTTCAGAATTCTCTCTGCCATTGAGTCAGATTTGTTTTGTTGACAACCTTTGTGTTTGAGTGTCTGTTATTTCATATTTTCTTATTCAGTATGAAGTCAGGATTCCTCACATCTGTTTTAATTTTTATAAATTCTAAAATGCTTATAATTTTTTAACTTTTGAAAATCTAAATGGCAATGTCAAAAGTATTATATAGTTTGGTTTTGGTCTTTGAGAGGAAAAAAGCTACAGCAACCAGCCAGCTGTTTCTGGTTAAGGAACTATTTCAGTTCTGGAGGTTTCGGTGGGATTGGTCCAGGTGGCTATGACAGAAATGAGGACTGAGTCAGCTGTGTGGGGTCCTGGCAAAGACCTTGAGGTCACTGCAGACTAGGCATTATGGTGTCACCAGGGCTCTGACGGGTTTTCAATCAGATTATAGTACTGTTGACAAACTGAATTCTGAAGTTATAGGCCCTATTATATGTGTTGACAGCAGTTGCTAGTGGTGTGGATCCACTATTGTGTCAGTATGGGGTGTGGGTTCCATTTTTACAAGGTAAATTCAAATATTCATTGTTGCATATCACAAGATAAACATCTCTATCAGATCGGTGAATGTGGCTTCCCCCACCTCCACCCGGCAACCTCAGGGGACCATCAGGCTCCAAAGCCCCTTTGGAAAACCATCTACCCAGAGCAGTGGACCTCACCTAGTGTGTGTGTCATCAGGCTTACCTGGGAGCATCTCCAACTCAATAATGCCAGACCTCCATTTCTCAAAAAGCCCTGGGAGACACAGATGCACACATCTGACCAGGAATCAGTGATTTAGAGCAATGGTCCCCAAACTGTGGTCCACAAGCTCGTGCTGGCCAGGCATGAGGGCGGAGATATGGTCAGCCCCCTGGCTCTTCGCCACCACTTCCTTCTCGGCTCTGAGGGCAATGCTGGGACATGGACGAAGGGTGGATGTTGCTGCTCCTATTCTCTGCTCAGTTTGCCTAGAAAATTCAAATTACATGAAACCATTTTTTCAACATTATCTATGGTCAAGTTTGGGTTTTTTTTGGTCAATGACTAATATTTAAAAGAAAGCACCAGAATTTGGGGCATTTAACTATATTTTAGATCATAGAAAAATTGATAAATTTAAGATGAGAAAAAAATTGCATTCATATTGTAAAATAAAATAGCATATTGTAATTTTTCTGCATTCAGAGTATTTTCGTATATCCCTGAAACATGTTAGCAGAAGGTTACCTGTCATCCTTTCTTAGGAAGGACTTTCTTCATTCTGAGCTTATGTCCTTCCTCATTTTTAGTCTTTCATGAAAGAATATTAGATATAGGTTGCAACTGTTTCATTTTTAATAAAATAAGAAACCTGATGTAGGCTCCCTGGTTTATTATTTTGCTCATTCATGAAATCAAAAGTCTGGGTCCATGATCTGAAAGACAGGCATAGATTGAATCAAAGAATAGTAAGGTTTAAACTTGCTTCTGCCCCTAGCTTTGACAATCGCCCCACTTCCTCATAGTCTCAAACTCCTTACCTAGGAATGAGGGACCCAACCAAGGTCCACTCTGCAGTTCCTGCACTAATGCTGTCATATGGTGGCACTGACAGAAAGCAAACCAGCAGAATTTCACATTTCACAGTCTCCATCCAAGCCTGCCTCTGTTGGATGCTTAAACCTGTTATCAGTTGATTTTGAGTTAGATCCAAGTTTCACAACTTTGAAAATATTCAGTAGCATCCCTGAACCATGTGTATGTATACCTGTCCTGTCACTTTTGTCTGGGCTGACAACAGGCGACGGAAGGATGACAGCAGCTTGAGCGGCTCGATGTCCACAGCAGCCTGCCCTGCCCTGCTCTGGGCCCTTTTGGATGGGACCTGTCCATTGTGATCCCTGTGCCCTGCAGTATGCCCAGCACAGTCCTGGACTTGAAAAAAATATGTTCCCAGCCCTGCCAACTAGAACGTGATTTTCTTCATGTTCCCACTGTGTTTTATGCTGGGTATCAATCATTCTGAGGCAGCAGAGCCACTGGAGTTCTAGGGGTGGGTAGGGCTGTAGCTTGAGAAGATGAGGCTGAGGAACATTAATTGGCTCCCTGGTGGCCTGAAGAGTGACCCTGATCTTGTCACAGAGTAAACAAACTAGCCAGGAAGAAAAGCCCCAGATGCACTTGGCTGTCAAAATTATAAGTTGCAACTATTAGAAAAAAAGGCAAATAGTTAAATGATGCAGCAGAACGTATCACTGTAATTTGTCACCAAATTTTGAACCTTACCCCAGTTGCTGTTTTCTTCTACATTAGGTAGAGTAATGAAGTGGCCCTTGAGCTCCCCCATTTTAGTCATGTGCATTGTTTTTTTAGTAGATGTTCCAATGCTCTCATTAACGTCTCACTTTTTTTTTTCTCACTTCTATTTGTCCAAGTTGATGTCCCCTTTCTGTGGAGAGCTGAAGAGTGTTCTCTCCCATTCTGTAGGTATTAGCTTCCTCACACAAAGACAATCAGGTTTAAATGAATAAAAACTCTACATCCCTCCCCACATACCAATGAGGTATTTTTGGTGCCTCAAGAGTGGACCCTGTTAGCCTCCAGGAGGCCCTGCCCCAGAGTGTCGCCCACAGACATGACGTAGGTAAGGAGGTGATAGATGTACTTTCCATCTCCTTTCACTTAGGCAACTGGGTAAAGAGAGAACTCTTGGGTGTGAATAACCAACTGCTGATAAAGTTCAGGGCTCAGTATGAGTGCTTTGAGTTACTCCCATCAGAAATGCTATGCAGAACAAAAGTTGTGTTAACAGCAGCATTATGGGTGCTGCTGCAAACAAACTGCTTGCTGAACCCCAAAGACTGTGTTCCACATGTTTTGCTAATTAACAAACAGACCGCTTGGCCCTGTGTTTCCGAAGACGTCCCGTCAGTGTGCGGAGTGGATGGCCTTTGCACTGCAGGCTGTGCTCTCTCATATGCATGTTAGATGTCAGTCCTGCAAGAGGCTCTCCCTTCCTCCTTTTAGGAGACCGCATAATTTCCCTTCTACTTTGATAATACCAGCTTCCCACTTAAAATCAGGTTTAATTATTAAGGGAAAACATTCCACATTCCTCCTCAGTTTTCCTGGGAACTGATCTTTACATGTGAGTCATTTCCATTCCCATCTTGACCTTAGTAATGTCTTCTCACTGCTTTATCAACCTTGTGCCCAAGTTAAGCTTTGCTCTTGGTCCTTAATATGTGTATTTTTAGGGTGCGGACCCTTTTCTGTAAGGATATAATTACAAGCCATTTCAGGGGAGAATCATGTAGCTACAGAAGAAGACATTGAAAACAGATTTAATTCCTTAAATCTCTGGCTGAGAAAACTAAGCACAGTTAATGCCACGTTTAATCATCAGCTAAGTGGAGCGGTTCTTCGTGCACATTACCTGTGTTTCTGCTGAGGTTAGGAATTTGGGCTTCACTGCCTGGCCGCACCCTGCTGGGTTTGGCTCCTCTGACTTCTCTATGTCTTTCACCATGCCATTTGTTTCATCTAGACTTGCCTGCCTGGATTATGTGATCCAAAGGACCCAATAGTCCATGGAGGGAAGTGATGGTAGGGAGGCAGTTCTCAGCAGGAGGAGGGGATGCAAAGCAGACAAAAGCAAGGAACCAGATTTATATTCCATGTGGTTGCACTCTAGATCTTAAGCTTCTGGGGGCAGATGGTGCTCACCCAAGCTTTCCTGCACAGCCGTCATTTTTCAGGGTGTGAATGTCTCAGATGTCTCAGTTAGTGCTCCCCAACCTCAATGCTTTGCCTGCTCCTGTTTCTTTGTGGGACCACAGTGAGGAGAAGGTGGTGATGCCAATGAAAATGATGTATGTACACTCATCATACATACTGATGCGTGTCCAGGTAATTTATATGATGGAGGGGGCTAAATTACTGTGTGTGCATATAGAGCATGAATTTCATAATCTGTGAAATGGAAATAATGATTCCAGAGTTGTCAGGACCAGATGAGATGAGATACAGTGCATGCAGAAGCACTGTCATTGACTGAAAAGTGACATCAGGATGCAGGGCACTTGTTCGTATTTCACAGTGTTACAGACAGGACACTAACCCACAGAACTTCCTGCAAAGACAGCAATGTTCTGTCAGCACTGTCCACTTTGATAGCCTCTAGCCTCATGTGACTAGTGAGCATTTGAAATGTGAGATGAAGGAACTGACTTTTTAATTTTTTAAAATTTTATTTAAATTATTTAAATTTAAACAGCCACAGATAGCTAGTGGCTACTGTATTGGACAGAGCAGTTACAGAGGTTTCCACTTCGGTCTTTTCATTTATGGTACGATGTTGATCTCATCTGCAACTTCATTGATGTGAAATCTTAGGACACATGGTTCCTCTGGGGAAAGTGGTTTCCAGGAGCACCTTGAGGCTGAGGGGAAGCAGCCTTCCCAGTGCTCTGACCTCTTAGCCTTTGACATCGGGGCTGAGCAGCTGCCTGATGACCACAACTGACCAGCAAATGCCAGCAATAGGTCATGAAGCATTTCTCGTTTTTCACTTCTATTTCCTTCTTAGTAAAAATGTATTGCCTTCAGGTCTCCTTTTTCTGTAATACAGACATGAACATGACATGAAAAGTTAATGGAAAACCTCTCAGCAGGGCCTTGTATTCACACATAAAACAAATATTTGCTCAGTACCTGCCACAGACCAGTTCCTGGTGACAAAGCAGTGCTGGAGCAGAGGCCCCACCCTTGGGGAACCTGGCTCTGTGACAATTAGGGACATGTACCAAGCACTTGTGTACAAAGCACTGTCCTATCTGCTTTAGATAGAATATGTTCTTTACTACCAGGAGCAGCTCCAGAAGATATAAGCAGAGACCAGCTTTGCAGGGATACCAGCTTGTAGGGGGCGGCTGTGATGCACACACCGATACCTGAATGAATTTCATCATGCTGTGTCAAGCCTGTGTGCACGGTTGGAAGAAGGAGGACAAGAGGGAAGAACTGAGGATGCCTTCCCTAGTTTTTGGCCTGAGCAACTGAGTCCTTGGCAGTGCCATTTTGCTGAAATAGACATGAATAATGACAACCATGAGCTCCCTTTTGTGCGGGTTAATTTTGAGGTGTTGGTTGTATCGTTTAGGTTCCTAATGGGAAATAGATGGCCCGCTCCGTTCCAGGAGGACTTGGACTACAGAGGACTAATTACAAAGGAGGGGTCCAGGGACAGGGGCCCACTACAGCTGATACAGGGTGGTGCCCGGGCCTGAGGCTGGGAGCATACAGGCCATTCTCCAGTGGAGGCTGCCAGGGATTGGGGAAAGGAGGCACCAGAGCCTGAAGGAGAAGGGAGAAGTAGAGGCTTTCACTGGTGGGTGGGGGTCATTGAAAGGTAGGGAGCCGGCAACTATCCTAACCTCACTCTCCTCCCATTCTCACCTTTCCCTCAGGTTCCCCAGGGGGCACAAGTGCCCTGTGGGACAGCCCACCATAGGCTCCTGGGCTAGAGGCTAGAGTGGAGAGGGCCTCTGTGAATTATCAGCGCCCATTGAGCCTGAGCCTTTATGGCAGGGACAGGTGGGCATGCATCAGTTGTCACCTTTTCTGCAGTTTAGGAGAGGCCAAGCTGAGTACAGACCTGGGAGGTGTCAGCTGTAGGTGACATTTAATGCCTCAGGTCCAGTGAGGCTGTCTGCTCCAGGCCACAGTACTACTAGCGGGAGAACCCGAGCTTGGACCCTGCCCTGTGGCCAGTGTTGCTCATGCTCTTCCCTCTTATATGTCCTTGACCTTCTCACCTCCAGAGTAAAGTTAAAACAGTTCAGTATTACTTTTATAAGATCTGCCTCCCAGGGTTCCTCATTCCTGTATTTCTTGTATTGCCTGGCCAGCTCACACTCCCTGATGCTTTTCCAAAATTCCATTAGGGTGTCACTTTGGGTTTTCTAAATTCTGCTGAGTAAGTAGAATAGCAGACAGATGGGAACAAAAATGGTCTATTACAGACTCTTCCTGTAATGAAATCTCTTTACTGTGTCTGCTTTGTCTTTGAGAGACCAGAAACAGTTTGAAGTGCTTTGTCTTGAGTTCTTGGTGCATTTTCTCAGGCTGCGCTCCTGCCCACCACAGGTTCATTGCGGAAGAGGCTGCAGCTGCCGGGGCCAAGTGCGTGCTCACCTTAAGTCCCACCTGGATCGTCGACCCCATTGATGGCACTTGCAACTTTGTGCACAGGTGAGCATAAGTATGGGTTACTCCATTCTAGTGCCAAACTGTCCTCTAAGATCTTGTCTTTTCTGAAACAACGTTTTTGGAAGCTAATAGGTTTACAATTTCATAAAAATATGATCAAGTCTTGATCTTTTTTAAATGTTTTCCATTTGTGAGACTCTCAGAGCATGTAAGAAATCTTCATTTGTTTAAAAACCATTGTGTTTATTATTTTTAAGATGTTGAGTTGAATTAAGAAGGACCCCTGGAAAAGCAAACAGGGTTAGAAAGCAGGTGTGTGCAGCCCAGCAGCTGCTGGAACATGAGGCGTAGATGGGCATATGAGGGGTGACGTTCCAGAGCCATCGTCAGAGGTGGCTCATGTCATGTAAACCTCATGTCACCATGAGAGATGGGATGAGGAACCCACTAGAAGCTGGCTAGTCCTAATCTGATTGGGCTAATGACAGCCAAAGAGCAGTAGGTTGTAGGGAGGTCAGAGGTGCCATTAGTGGAAGGGAAGTGATCTGCAGAGTCCAGGGAGGTGAGGGGGACCTGGCCCCAGAAGCTGACCAATGGGGCTGTAGGAGCTGTACCCACTTGTCCAGGACTGAGGGCACTGAATATGACGTGGTTCCCAGAGGGTGGTTCTCCAATAGAAACATGCATAGAGTGCCCAGATGGCTGGTTGACACAAGTTCCTGGCCCATCCCCAGGTCCCCATTCAGTAGGTTGGGTAGCCCGTGGATCTGCATTCTTAGACCACACTTTGAGAGCCCCTGCCATAGATGATGAGGAAATGCTTCGTTTCCTTACTTAAAGTAAGAAAGTGCGAGCACAGCCAGTTGACAGGGTCCTTGCTCCTGGTGCTATCCTCTTATGTGTTACCTCAGACAGTATGTTTATATGTAAGTATGTAAAGTAATTCTGATACAGCATATTAGTCATCAGTCTTTTCTAAATGTGGGTTATCTTAAGAATTCAGTCAGTCATGCCCACACAAGTGATCCTTTCTGAGGCAATCGCATAGTGCCATCTGGTGACAACAACAGCGTCACCAGACTATAAGCTTGACACTCCTCTAGGGAGTTCATGTGGAATCACAGGTCTCCCCTCTTAGGTGTCTTTGCTGAGTGGAGCACCTGTTACTTCTGTCTTGCTCACCATTCCAGTGTGCTGGTAATACGGACAGGGCAGGCTGAGCCCCATGGTGTGGAGAAGGCTACCTGTGCACCTGAGGGCTTTTCATGGGCACCAGTGGACCCAGGGCCAAGGGGAATGTGAGGCCAGAGAGAAAACTTGGAGAAGAGCATCAGTTGGAGAACGAACTGTGGTGCTGACCCTTATAGTTCCACAACATTGTCAAGGCCACAGCTGTAGCAATTCTCATGACCTACAGACATCCGGAAGCCTTTAGCCACTCTAGGTCAGATAAGACCTGTTGGCCCTTATGTCCAACAATGTTGGGACTAAAGCCAAGTGGGAGAAAACTCTTCTGAGAGTCGGAACTAAAACCTAGGCTGGCGCACAGTGCATTTACTCAGTGAGCCAGCCATCAGGGACAACAGTGCCACACGGCCACCACCTTGGCAGTCAGGGCTCAGATCCATGTGTGACTGGTTTTGTGGTTTTCCTGTAAGTTAGCAGTATCCAGCCTTTTCTTTTCCTACTAGTTGTTAAACTCTGATGCTTTTCCCATAAAGGAGAGATTATTTTGAAGACACAGAGCAGGAACAACAAAAATCACAAAATAAAAACGCAGGCAAACTGCAGTGTCATAGCCAGCCTTTGACCGCTGTGGCCCATGCACGCTGTTGGCAGCTTGGGTGCTCACGCAGGAGACGAGGCAAGGAGAGATGGTATTACCCAGACCCAGCCTCTGAGTGGACGCTGTGGCCTGGGGCCTGCAATGTCGCCTCCCAGAGGCCCCTCCTCACCCTACCTGGGATATGGGTCTGGCCTTTCTGGAGGGCTCAGCTGTCCGTTTAGGTCTCTGAGAACCAGAAAGCTGATTATTACAATCCTCAACCGGGTACTTGGTCATTGTTGAATTACATCAATCTTATAAGCCTTTTAGAATACTGCTTGCTTTCAAGGTCAGCTATCTTACAACATGGTGAGCTAAGCCTGTTTGTCTTGGAAGCAGTTAGTCTAATTGTGGGAAGTAACTTTTTAAAAAAACAAACTCAGCCACACTGTAGAAAGGTCCTTCTGTGCCTTGAGTGATGCTGCACAGCCACACAGAGGCTCCTAAGAGTTTGCATGTTGATTTGCATGAGGCCATTTATGTTTTAAAGTGTAAACCATTCCGGTTTCCTTTGCAGATTTCCAACCGTGGCAGTAAGCATTGGATTTGCTGTAAACCAAGAGGTATATGTTGGGTGGGGCCCCTGGGACATCGTCTCCAGGGCTCCAGTTCACGTTTCGTTTAGTCATCTTCCTTTTTAGTTTCAACCTCTGAACTTCTGTTTTTCTCTCCTTGTCATGTGTCTTAATCATGACTAGTAAATCCAAGTATGTGTTTTTCAAATCTGAGAAAGTAAACAAATGCAAACCAGTTTTAGGGTGTGTAGGCTTGGGGCTCCATGGCTGGCCCTGTTTCCTCCATGGTCTTATGTGATGCAACGGTGGAAGGGGAAGTTCTGAGGAAATTATCTAAATTAATCTCCATCTGACCCCTGGGGCGTGTGATCTAGTCATACACAAAAAGAGCTCCTATTTTTGGAGGACATTTTTAATCCCAGTATTCTATTCTTCATCTTCCTCTAGCTGTTAATGTGAGAATGTTGCTGTGGCAGATTCGTGTAGACCCTTGGAACTAAGCAACATCACAGGGCCTGCAACAAAGATGTGGGATCGAGGCTTAAGTTTTATTAGTCAATTTAAGCAACAACACTTGCAAAGCCTTAATTTCCTTGTAGTTACTACAGTTATGTTTAAATAGCACCGGGGGCTCAGTGTTTTTCCAAAGCAGCCCTCCTTTAGAACACCATTTTTTCATCTTAATCCTGTGTTAGCATAGATTCCCTAGCATGGAAACTGAGAGAAGTTTATACTCATGTAAAAGTACTTAAGTTAAAAATAAGCAAGAATTTTAATATTGAAATTTGGGTAAGGAGTTAATTACTCATTTCTCTGTTAAATGTTGTCATTAAACAGAGTAGGGGGTTGAGCAGTCACCTCAGAGGGTGGCCGTGTTAGTAACTGAGAGGTGGGGGGCAAAATGCTGCAGCCTATGATGGGTCTGGTGTGTGTGACTGCACACAGTTGGCCTGGGCTTGTAGCAGAGGGTCCCCGGTCATGGGGAGTGACCCACTTCTACTCACCATTTCCTCATGCCAGCAACGACCTCCAGGCCACCTGCTCGACCCAGGGGCACAGGCCACCCTCCACAGGCTCCCCGAGGCATAGGATTGACCTGGATTTGGGAAGTCCTTTACACCAGGGTAGTGGAGGCGGGAGGATGGTTAAGTATTGCTGGAAGGCTATAGGCCCTTGGTAAGTGCTGACTGAACGATCCTTCCCAGAAATAAATCCTATTCCTGTAGGTTGGGTAGTCCCTTCCACTGTGGTCGAGCTCAGCCCTGGCTGGCCGAGACTTTCCCGAGGCATTTGTCCTGGGTCTCCATTTTCCAGAGAGATGAATACTTGGCTAACCCCCAGACCGAACACACTTGCTGTTGTTAACCCTGAATAGTGAGAAGTCAGTAGAGGAAAGACACAAAATCATGTGTGTGTCAAGTAGCATTTTTTTTCACGCCCTTCTCTTCTTTTCACTGTCCCTTATTAGGAGGCTGTGATCCAAGGCCTCGTCCACTGATTTATGACAGTGTGGCTGCTGGTTAGCACTCGCCTGTTCAGGGATGAGCCCCTTTTGGTGAATCACATCTGTCTTCCTCAGGCTGTCCTTGGGTTCTGTGATCCTGTTGGCATTACAAATAAATGCATTCTTCATTCTTCACACATCAGCAATTTTGAGGGCTTCTTGTGGAGTTTGATTAGAGTCACAAGTGGCCTTTTTTCCCCCAGAAAAAAAAACCCTTTCTAAACTATTAAGCTTTTTTTAGTAACTTTCAGTTACTAATGCTTAATTATGATGTTAATTTTTTAATATAGTTTTATTAGTTTTCGTATATTTTTAAATAGTTATTTTAAAAAAGAAAGTTTGCTTTCATGTCCAGGTCTAGTTTTTGAATCTAGATGCTGATTTTTTAAATTCCCTTTTGAAAGGTATTTTCTATCACATCGTCACTGTATTAGTCAGAACATCTAGAACACTTTCACCTGTGAATTACTGTATTATTTTCTATGTCCAATAAGTGAACAGCATTTGTTTTCTGTCCTGCCTTCACCCCCCACAGCTTGAATTTGGAGTGATTTACCACTGCACAGAGGAGCGGCTATACACTGGCCGGAGAGGCCGGGGCGCCTTCTGCAATGGCCAGCGGCTCCAGGTCTCCGGGGAGACAGGTGGGGCTTCATGCGGCTTGTTTCAGTTCACTTCAGATTGAGCAATGTGAATGGAAAATGCCCAAAATCACCTTTTTGCGAGACGGTGGTGAAAATCTCCTGCTGAGAGTTCAATCTCTTTTTAGGGACACCATGTCCCTGATGAAATGGAAATTGAGCCAGTTCTGTATCTCAATATATTTGTGAATGTGGCCAGGAGCTTTAAATAGTCTCATTCTATTTTGCATGCACATCTTTCATCTTTAAAGCTAAAAGAAATCCAGTCACTAGATACGATTTGGTCTCTAGCAGTCCAAGGCCAAGGGCAGAGTCAGAAGCATGCTCTGGCCCTCAGAGCATCCAGGTAAATGTCAGTCTTCCTGATGTCACCTGGGTGATGTCGCCCCAGAGCAGCCTGTGGCTCCCTGGATGTGGATTAACTGCAGCTGGCTTCAGTTTCTGTGAAAAGTTGTGTACATAAGCCATGTTTTCAAACACCACAGATGTTCCATTGTAATTGTTATTCATAAACAGAACCTCAAAGGCATCCATCTCGTAGCTATTATAAAGGTACAACGACATCATTAATCTGCATATATAACTACATATCAACTGGTTTAGGTGTTCCACTGACTCTTTTTGGCCTTCTCTCACACTGATTAAACTGGTTATATTTTATTGCTCTGCGGGACAAATACTGTAGGGGACAGAAAATTGCAAGGCAGAAATAAAGAGCCCAATAAGAGCAGGTTGATTAGGAGAAGACTTATATCTGGGTCTGAAAAGGTAGAAAACACAGTTCCTGCTAACTTCTCATTTGCATGTTTCTGCAGCAGGACATCATGAGGTGTCTGTCCCGTGTCGTGTCCCCCCCCCCCATTATTTCATTTAACCACCATGGCTTCAGTCTGCGGTGTCATCACTTCCCCTCTGAGCTCCCGCTGCCTTCCTTACTACCTCCCCTCTCTACCTATTTCCAGCCTCTTTTTAAAAAATTTCTTTTCTAGTGCCCTCTTTCCATTGTCTCTATTTATTCTGCCTTTTCTTCCTCCCTCGGGTGATACCTGTGTACCTAGATGACCTCAGAGGCAAATGAGAGGACTAACATGTGCCTTGCCCTCTAGCTGCTTCGCATCTAGTAAGGACAACAGGCTCTCCGGCTGTGATCTGGTGAGAACAGGGTCATCCTGGAGCCCTGCATTAATTGTTAATTTCTTATATTTGAGTTTCTATGACACCAAAGATGTTGATCTAGGTACAGCAGGAGATACTTGCTACGGCACAGACTTCTCCTTGCAATGCTGTGACCCTGGTTTGCTAGGGAGGTGACCTTCTGTTGGTGAAGGACAGGTCGGGGCAGAACTGCCTTGGGGAGACTGAGGAGGCTCCCTAGAAGGCCCATGAGAGTCACAAGCATGCCCAGGGTGAGGGGAAGGGGAGACGGTCACCAGGGGCTTCAGACAGAGGTGGGAGCAGCAGGACCCACTAACCAGTTACCGCTTCTGAGTCCCAGCCCTGCCCCATTCCTCTCTCTCCCAGACATATTTTGTTTGGCTGTGTAAAAAGTAGTGTTAATTACAGCTACACATGCCAGGAGGCAAAGCACTCAAGCTGAATTGTGTAACTCAATAGAGAGGAAGCATGTTATTAAACACGCTTACGTGAACTTTGCTCTATATTTCATTTGATTATAACACTCAGCGGTATTCATACACACTCAGCTTCCTGGTTGGCTGCCTGCATTGCTCAGTCATGCATTAGAACTTCACGTCCTCAGTGGGGCTCTCAGATCACTTTCCCAGCACTGGCTCATCCCACTCACGTGGGTAGGGACTTTGGTCATCACTATATTTGGCCCATTTTCAAAGACCCTCCCGTCTCAGAGTGTTTGTTCATCACTCAAACACTGTCATAACCTCCCCTTGGCAACACAACTGTGGTTCTTACATCTCTTAAAATTGCTCATGTTCCAAAGCTCTTTTGTGATATGTTTTTTATTTTTAATTCTGACTTAAAATATCTAGTGTGTTGTTTTCATCCTGATTGTTTTCTATTTCATGGGTGACTAGGTTTCTGTGGGAGGTGATGGAGCACAATCTTTAGGTGTCGTATAGACCTGGTTTCAAATACTGATTCTGCCACCGTCTAATGCCGAGACTTATCAGTCAGTTAACCTCATAGGGTCCAGGACCAAATTGATGAGAGTCTCTGAAGTGGTTCTTTGTTCCCTTTAGTTATGCCACCAACTGAATCTAATCATTTAGCTACATTTGTTTTACTTTATTTTTAATTTAGAAAGATTACCTTTCTAAATTGATTTTATTTTGTAATTTTGTAAAAAAAAGTATATGGTTCCAAAGACAAATCTATAAAACAAAGTATATTCAAAGAAGTTTAGATTCTTCCTTGTCCTTTTTACGCTATAGATGACCATTAAAAATTTTTAATAGTTTATTGTTCCCTTGTTTATTTTGGTGTTGTTGTTTTTTAAAAATAAGTAGCTGTTTTGTTTGCTTTTATTCTCAGTTTCGGTATAATTGTTGGTATTTAGAAAGGTTTATATTTTTATTTTAATCTCTTTATATTAAAATTTTTATATAATATCCCTAGTCCTCCGTTTTTTTTAGGATATTGTCTATTGATTCCCTGTTATCAGTGATACTAAACTTAGCTTATAGCCTCTTCTCCCCCTTCTGCATATATTCCAGTATGTCAGTTAAAAATGGTATGCTTTTATTCTCAGTAACTACAACACAATTGGTGAGTATATTGTACTTATTACATCCTTTCCCTGTTATCTTTCCAATTTTGGATGGTCGTGCTGTAGATGCATTGAGAGAGCAACCAGCTATGCTCTTATTCTAAAACTATCATTTGTATTTAGTCTTGGTTTCCACAGCTAAATGTAGATTTAATACCCAGCACTAGTCCTTCATGTCGATGTTTCTCCAATCATTTTGTTTGTGTGAAGCTCATCTACTAGTACAGAATTTCTCAAACTTTTTGATCTTAAGACCAACCCATTTATATTACTGAAAAACTTATTGAAGACCCCACCCAAAGAGCTTTTGTTTAATCATATCTATATTTATATATTAGAAATTTGAACAGAAATTTTTAAAATACTAATTTATTTTTCCATTTTAAAATAAAGAACTCATTACATGTTAATATAATAATATATTTTTATAGAAAATAACTATATTAAAAAAAAATTTTGTGTGGGAGAAGAGTGGCACTGTTTTACATTTTTTCCAAAGCTCTTTAATGTCTGGCTTAATAGAAAACAACTAGATTCTCATATCTGCTTCTATATTCAATCTGTTGTAATATATTGTTTTGATGTGTGAAAAAAAATCTGGCCTAATACAGAAAAATAGTTGGAAAAGAGGGAAGTGAGAAATATTTTAATAGACTTTTCAGATAATTGAAGATATTCTTCTTTGATGCTTTTGATACATCAAAACTCAAGAAATGGTTTTTGGGGTTTTTTTTTAATTGTTAGTTTCAGGTGTATAGAACAATGCAATATTTATTCTTTTCATCCTTCACACAGAAATAACCCCCCTCCCCCATCTACTGCCCTTCACCCCCGATATAATACTTATCTATTACAATTCCATTGGCTCCATTCCCACACTCTACTCCACGTCCTGTGACTATATGTATATATAATTGTATTTGACATACAATATTATTCAACATCAGCTTCAGAAATACAGTGTGGTGGTCAGGCCTCTACACCGACTATGAAATGGTCTCCTTAACAAGACATGAGTCCAGCTGGCCCCCTAAAAAATATTTACAACATTATTGATTATATTCCCCAGACTGTCTTTTCTATCCCTGAGTCCATATTATAGTTACCAATTTGTATCGTCTCGTCCTTTCCCCTTCTCCTTCATCCCCACTCCCTCCCAACTAGCCATGCTCAGTTTTTCCTCTGTGTCTCTGAGACTAAGAAATGGTGGTTTCTTAAAGTTAGTTGCATATGAAATCTAATGACATACCAATGAATTTTTTTGTACTCAGTTACATTGAAATCCATTGGGCTACTGCCTGTTTTGAATGGATCTTTGCTCATAGATGATTTTGTAACATCATGCCTTGGTCATGTGGAAAATAATGGTTCACTGAGATTTTTAGCTTTTCCAAATGTTGATATATTTCATTTAAAAATACTTAAAATGTCATATTCATAAATATCACCACCCTTCTCATGAGGAATCTTTGGGTGTTGGGAAGGCGTCAAGCTTACAGTAATGGATAGAAGTCTTCCCAAATTCTAATTTCCACTTGAAACTTGAATTTGATCAGTGGCAACCTTGGAAATTGAAATGATGGGCTCACTTCTTTCATTTTCAAAAAAATACTTTCCAAATACCCAATTCTGAATAGCTATAGTTTAAGGTCTCTATGTGTACTTCCCACCTCATCACACAGAATATTCAAAAGACATGTATAGTACTTAGATTTTAAGGTTTAGTACAGTTGATACTTTTTTACAGCTTCTTCATTCTTAAGTAAAACTCACATTTTTCCCAGTATGTAAATATAGCAGAGAAGACTGCAGTGACTATTAGAACAGGTGAGGCCTTGCCTTGCTTTGTCTATCCATTGTGCAAATGTTAACATGACGAAAAAGGCAAATAATGTCTTAGTATTTTTATGAAATTTGTTTTAACTTCACAGATTCCTGAAAGAAGCTCAGGGACCACACTTTGAGAACTACTCCAGTTGATTTCTCAGGAAGGGCTTATGGGAATAATATTCCCTGAGTTCATATGTGTTCATAAGTTTATTAGTGGCCTTTATACTTGAAAATCCACTTCCTGGTAATAAAACATGGCTCTCATTTTCTTATGTTGAATATCTTAAATTTTCTCAATGATTTTCTAGCATATGCACATTATTGAAAAGTCTGAAGACAATTTTTCTTTCCCTTATAAGGGACTTTAATGTTTTGTCTGAATGCTCAAAATATTTTTTTCTTTTTCTTCAGAGTACAGTAATTTTAATCA